ACCTCCAAGGGGTTTTATATAAGAATACAGTTTGGGAGTTTGCAAAGCACAGCTCTCTCGCAAACAGAAGAGCAAGACCCTTTACTCCCTATGACTTCTATTTTGCTCACAACAAAAGAAACAAGATAATGTGCATGGATAGAGAAGTTTGACTCATCTGAAATAAACACTCACTTCCCTGAAATCTGAGAGGATGATAAGGTTATTACAAGAAGTTGTTGCTAAGTGCTGTAGAATTGATTCCGACTCACAGTGACCCAATATAGGTTTTCTGAGGAGAAGCTGGTGTATTTGAACTGCCAACCTTGGGGTTCAAACCAACCTTGTGGATCCTGTGCTTATCCAGTGAAGCCTGATTCATCTGAAACAAAACTTCACTTCTCTGAAATATGTGAAGGTATTACAAGAAGTAGAACCTGCTAACATCAAATTCTTTTTTTATTAGAAAAAAACTTCTACATGAAGGATACCAAACTCAAAAATACAATAATAATCATTGTTATGTTATGAGGTTGAAATTTTCTTCGATACTTTGTAACTGCTTAACGTTTGGTATTAAATAAGCTTTTTAAGTTCAATGGTATATAACTTCATTGTTAATAAAACTTTAAAAATATTTAAAACTGTTTAAGATGGTTATAATTTGTGCCAGAGTAAATTATGCTTTTAATTTTACTATTAACATAGTTTTTAAAAGAAAAACAAGTTATATAGAAAATATTATGATGCTTCTAACTTTAGATTTGTATGCCATGCCAGAATTACATATAACAACTTCAGGTAACATAAAGACCTTTCATTGCTTTTTGGAGACAGAACTATTTAGAATCTCACTGTATGTCTTAGGTGGGTATTTAAAAAACTAAGTCTTCTCACATGTAAAACTTAAGTTAACAATGTTCTCAAGGGTGCCAGGAGTGCCTGACACACACAACTATGTCAATAAGTGAATTTCCCTTTTTTACTTCACACTTCACTATAAACAAATGACAAACATTCCTCTCCTATGGCTTCAAAATTTCCAGAGAGCTTATTTTCCTAAAAAAAAATTTTTTTTGAATTTTTCTTACTGAAGATAAATATTCTACTTTTTACACATGTGTATTAAATTACATACTAGAACAAGATGACAGCAAATTCTATGTTTAATAGTATACCTAGAACAACACTGACTCCATAATCACCAAACAGTAGCATTTAAGTTAGAAAATCTAAAAGTTAATTCTAGAAAAACATAGACACTGTTAAAGTCCATCCTTTTTCATAACTAAGATGATGATATGCTTTGAAACCAATCTTCCCCCGACATTTCTGCTATAATTTCATATATATTTGAAATAATAAAAACCTTTACAAACCTAGTGAAGACACATCAGCAATGATGAAGTATCCCCCATCAGGAACAATGGGTTTTAGCTCAACACTTTCAAGTAAATGGACCATTCGATCTCTTTTTACTTCTAACTCTTTTGGTAAACTATTAAAGTAACACTCTGGATCATCCATGCGCTTGATGTCAATCCAAAAAGCTTGAGCCAAGGCTTCCTGGAGGTTAAAATTGATGGAGGAGGAAAGGAAATATGTTAATATGCTATTTGTTGCTTAGTTTGCCGGTATAATAAGTAAAGATGATTGAATAAGATAATTAGCAAAAAGGTCACTCAGAAAATGACAATTACATTCCTATGAACCTATGTTACTGTCCGTAGATTAATGGAGGAATCAGGTTATTGCACAAATGATTATGCCTAATATGAAGAACTGGAGTCCTTGTGTGGCACTGTAGGATAAGCATTGGACAGCAAAGGTGGCAGTTCAAACCCATCAGCCATTCCTTGGGAACCCTATACAGGGTTGCTATGAGTTGAAAGTGACTGGATGGCACTTAACAACAACAATATGAAGAACTAAGAATGAGCCATGAAAATGCAAATTGAAAAAGATGGATTAATTGGAAAATTTATAAAATAAATGATCTTAAGGTGAGCTAATGGAATGACTTGATAAATCTAAATCAGAAAGAAAAAAATGATGAATGAGTCATTACCCTAGAGGATATTAACAGAAATTAAAAGCTGATCCACTATGTACAGGAGAAAATGTACCCAACCTTATTTCCCATAGGTGTGCAAATCCCTGATCTAGTCATTCATATCCCAAGAAACGGATCCAAATACAACAAGATGAGAAACATTACTGGAGCATGTGTACCAATTTCTTCAGCTTAAGTCAGAAGAGCCTGGAGAGACACTGTTGTAGTTAGTTGCCATCAAGTC